TTGCTCAAGGAACAGCAGCCTCAAAATTATTTATTTCATGTTTTTATAGATGCTGGGAAGGAGGAATAGGACAACATGGGCATAGACGGGGTTAGCTGCTGGTTGTGTTACATCTTCAAGTCTATCATATAGGGGGTGGCCAGTTAGCTCAGTTGGTTAAAACGTGCTGCTGATAGCACCAAGGTTGCTGGTTCAATCCCTGCATGAGCCACTGTGAGCTGCACCCTCCTGAAAAAACAAAGGTCTCTCATATAGTAAGTAATCAACTATGCCTCTTCAAGAGCAAAAAAATACAGAACTCATTGAATTACTATAGGTTGGCTTCTTATTTGAACTCAGAATGTACTACCAAGTAACAAGTTGTTGCTGAAAAGGTACAAATTTATAAGACATAAAAATAATTTAATGTTCCCTATAAAATTCTTTAGGACTTCACTGGGAGCTTCCAGTGTATTTGTTTAATTCAATTCAGCAAATAATTATTGCCTATTTTATGCCAGGCACTGTGTGAGGTGCTGGAAAGGCAGATAAATAGCGTATTGTCTCTGCTCTCAACATGCTCAAAATCTATGTGAGGAAGACAGAAATATAAATGACTAACTATATTACTGTGCAATAAGTACTACACTAGAGGCATAAGGAGACCAGCATGGGAATAAGCAGGGGAAGGGATGATCTAGCTTCTGGCTGTCAGAGGGAAAAGGTCAGAGTTGGGGAGGGGGAGGGTTCTGTAGCTAAGGTGGACCTTGAAAAGCCATTGGAGATATAAAGCTGGAAAAAAGCATGATTAGATCAGCTTTCTCGAAAAAGCACTGAGGCAGGCAAAGAAGGCAGTCAAACTAGTTAAGAGGTTCTTAAAATCAGTCAACAGCTATTAAAAGAGACAAAATAAAATGTGGAGTTGGGGACAGAGGAGGGATTTTTTTCCAGGTGACCTCAGGAGATAGAGATAATGAAAGCTCAGCACTCAAACAAGAAGTTTATAAAGGACAACCACTTATTCACACATATGAAAAGCGAATTATTTTCCAGTTCCTATCACATGTTGTGGTAGCTATGCTGATAACCGTTCCCTCTAACTAAGAAAGAAACCAAGAAGTTCTTTCTCAGGACTAGTCAAGCAGCTGTTAGGGACAAGACAGGAGTCCTGTCATAGGGAGACTCACATTCCCAATTGAAACAGAGCCACTGAATTATTCTTC